ACAGTTATCGACCCGTTAGCTAAAACTAGCATAGGCAATCCTTAAGGCCCATTTGTTACATACTGCTGCCGGACCTATCCTCGGCCCTGCAAATCCGAAACTCCAAGATTCTACGGAAGTCATCAGCCGGAACGGAAGAACTGTCTAAACCCACTATATACATAGTGTCTCATATATATATATATAGGTATATACACATGTTCTTATATACATACATATATATATATATATACACATACATGCTGTTTTTCATTCTGTTCCCTAAACCCTAACCCCTAAACCTTAATCCCAAGAAGGGAAAAGGCAAAGAATCCCACAGACGTGTCTCTACAGCGGACTAGGGTTGGGTTGGGATTTGGCAAAGCCATACGTACCTCTCTTCTTCAACTACCAGGCCCAAGAAAGGTCAAACTTTTTAGCATAGACCTTATGTGTAGGGCCAAAAAATTTAAAGTTCACCCATTGGCTATCTAAGGAGAAATCTGGACTCCACCTAACGCAGAGACTCATGAGCAATCCTATCAGTAACTTTCTCGGGTTTGAGGCCAAATTCTAGGACAAATGCTCCAATCAAACACTTCAGCCCTGCATGCTTAGGGTTTAGGGTTTAGGGTTTAGGGTTCTAATCCCGTCACACTCAGATTTGAGACTTGGTTGTTTCGGCTCAACAAGCGGCAGGATGCACCATCGCCGAGCTTTGGGCTACTGCTTCCAAGCGTGCTCTGTGGGATGTTGCACATTAAGCACAGTACTTGATACCAGTATGTTCGGGCCTTCGGGGGCAAAGCACAGAATAGTATACGGGCACATAAGACTCTTTATGTACATGAATGGTTTGGAATTGTGCGTTTAGGGTTATGCCGCGGACATGCCATGATGCCATGAAGCCCTAAATTAAAGCCGCCAAGCCTGCAGCGCAGCTCCATATGCCGCTTCACCCAGGTACAACCTTGCCAACAGCCCGACTCTAAGCATTCCTGAAGCCACCGCCTGCAAAAACACAAAGCCTTCACGTCAGTCTGTACCACTTTGGGTCGTTGTGAAGTTTTGGGTTGTTGTAGTTTGGTGTGGTGCTCCTAGCTGACATGTTAGCACGAGGGATACATACATTGGCCATGCATGGATGGTCCTGTGCATGGTGACTTCTTGCAAAGTCTCTGCTAGTGCGTCTACACCGTGCAATGCATGACACCCAGGTAGTACTGCTTGTGCTTGCTGCTCTGTTGTTCTAACCTTGCCTTTACCAGTCCAACTACCACTTTAATCATCAAGTACCAGCTTGGTCTAGACTGGAGCTGAAGGTTCTGCTAGGGGTGTAGGAAAAATACTCTGAAGATCTCTTGCTGCATCAGTCAACTATATAAGATAGTGATGTGGATAGATACTCGTCTTGCAATACCTGCTTGACCCTATCCCCTAAACCCCTAAACCCTAAATTAAACCCTATAGCCCCAGGCGTTTAGTCTGCCCTGCAGCTCTGCCCCTTCTTGGAACTTCACCTTGTCGAAAGCATGTACCTCGCTGAAAGCCCAGCCGTCAACTGGCCCACTGCGGCCTCGAAAGTAGAACCCCGGTAGAACCCCTATAGAACTCTATAGAAGTCATACAGTAGCAACCCTCGTCGCGGACATCTTACAGCACCACAGAAAGTTAATAGCACCCTCATATGACGGTAATGAGGAGCCAGCCTCATCCCCTTTGCCCTCTGAAGGAGCATGGATGCCATGGGCCAGACGACAGAGGCCTAGATGTTTCAGGCCGTGTCCCAGAGAGCCCAGTTTACTTTGTAACTAACGGCTTAGGATGTACGGTGTAGGGTTCAAGCTTTAGGTTTTCTTTCAATTACAACATCGGGGTTCTTACTGGGGATTAGTTGGACAATATTCCAGAGTTCTTTAGGGGCTGTTGGGCTTTCTGCTTTGAGATTACTGTGATTTGGTGCACCTAGGTGGGTGGCATGAAAGGATAATACGGCAAGTAGCAAGGCATAACTTACAGTGTAGGGCTAAAGATAACAGGTTTGAGGTATGACATGTGGCACTGGCTTGAGCGCGTAAGGATACTGCGTAGGTGGAGAGCTCCGTTCACACGTTACAGGCATCGGGTCAGCTTTTTACTCGGGCATCCTGCCCTGTGTCGCCGACAATGGTCCGACCCGAGTGTAAAGAAATAAAGTTTGTGTTGGTTCGGTTCCCAGCCCTTTGGCGAGTATCCCTCAAACATCACATCAATGTCCAAGCTGGCAGACACAAGACTGCCCCTAGATGTCCGAATCAACATTGCTCTGAGACACACCGAAGATCCTTGAACTTGCAGCCCTAGAATTCCGTAAGCCATCCGCCAATCTGCACAAGGCCTCAACCCTAAACCCTAAACTCTCAACCTAAACCCAAAGCCCCAAACCCTGAAGGCCTGCACTACCGTTAAACGCGCCTTTTTCACAAATGCAGGCCACAAACCCTGAACCCTAAACCCTCGACCCCAAACCCTAAAGCCTCAACCCCAAACCCTAAACCCTAAACCCTCAAGCCCAAACCCTAAACCCTGAACCCTCAACCCTAAACCCTAAAGCCCTTTCTGAAACCCTGAAGGCCTCGGCTGCCCCAACAGCCGCACCGAGGTGAAGCTCGTTGGCAGACAGCCTCCAGCTTGGCGGTGCTAGGTTGCGAAAGCGTACGAAGTTCAGGGTTTAGGGTTTAGGGATTAGAGATTTCGGGACGTAGACTTTTTGAGGCTTAGGAATTCAGGGTTTAGGGTTGCGGGTTTCGTTTCAGGGCTTACAGGGTTCAAAGGTCTGCGGCATAGGATTCGTTAACTCTGTAGTAGATCTCCCGCTCTGCAGTCTCGGTAGCCGGCTTATTTAGTCCAGAGTCTCAGAGTTTAATCCTGAACGGTAAACCCCAAACCCCTAAACACAAACCCCTAAAGCCCTGAAGCCCCCTAGTCAACAGGGGAATGGCTTAAAAATGTTCTAAGGTCGACAGGCTTGCGGGCTGATCGATTTTAGGGCTAAGCTCTCTAGGCTGTCGAAGGTCAGGTTCTGTAAAAGGATTGTTACGGTGTAGGGCTCAGGGTTTAGGGTTTAAGGTTTAGGGTTTAGGGCTTGAGGCTTAGGGCTTAGGGTTTAGGGTTTCCAGTGTCCAAGCTAAGTCCAATGAGAGGCTTTAGCGTTTTAGACGGTGCAGCCTTTTTAGCAGAGACTTCCCCAAAAGGTCCAAGCACCCGATACTCACGAAAGCCGCGAAACCCTCATCCCAAAAACCAACCATCATCGCTGAACCCAAAACCCTAAACCTAATGCCCAAAGCCACAGCCTCAACCCTAACCCCTCGACCCAAAGCCCTGAGCCAAAACCCGAATTCTGAAGGCGTCAGTCATATCATACCCAAGCAAAAAACTGCGCACCGGCCTTGCCAGGACAAGATCTCGGAGGAAGCCGACGGAGCGGACCTAGGCAAGCATTCGTCCTGGGTTTAGGTTTGTAGGGTTTAGGGTTTAGGGTCCTCCTCCTGACACCAGTAGGAATAAGAAGCACGACTACCACCTCTACGACCACGACTAGGAGTGCGAGTAAGCTTATGTGTGTACGAGCACAACTGCGACGACGACAACAACAATCACAAGATCAAATTCTACTACCACTACTACTGCTACTACTACTACTACTACTACTACTACTACCACCACCACCACTACCAACTAGTACGTACTGCTGACTTATATTCCCGTGGCCTACTGCCGGAGCGCTCTCGACACCCGCTGAGAAAAGAAAATAACACCTTACCGATGCACAGCACCCTCCCGAAACTATCCGAAACCTGAAATTAAACTCTGGTAGTAACCAGCATAGTAACATTATGGCAGCAGCAACCCTTGTACCGTATCCCTTAGAGCAAGAACGGCAACCCTTGTAGTAACATTAGTAACCCCTTCAGTAAACCCTTATAGTAATATGTTCGCAACTCATATTAGCAAACCTTACAGTGAAACTAGTGACCCTTTGTAGTATTAATGTTGTAGTATCCCCTGTTGCAACCCCTCTAGAAGACCTTATAAAATCAGCAGTCGAGCATCCCGAAATCCTGCAGACAACAATTATTGTAACGCTTACAAGAACCCTCTTGTAGAAGCCCTTATCAAGAAACATAAACGAACCCTGATGTCGGGGCGGGGCCCATTGCGACTTGACCTGGAGGCACCTGGCACATGAAGGCTCATAAGCACTTACACAAAGTAAGGCATCCAGGTTCTAGAAGAATTTATGTGAGCTTTCCCGATACCGGAGACCCCAAACCCTCATAATCCCTAAACCTTGTAAACCCCTAAACCCTTAAACCCACAACCTCACATGTCATGAGAAAGGCTCCAGGGAACAAGAATTTTCGGCTTGAGTGCTGAAGCTTCGGTGTTCTTCCACGGGTGTAGGTCCACCTAGAGTTTTCAATGTAGTTAGGGTTCAGGGTTAAGGGTTAAGGGTTTAGGGGTAAGGGTTTAGGGTTTAGGGTTAAGGGTTTAGGGTTTAGGGTTAAGGGTTCAGGGTTAAGGGTTTAGGCTTCGTTTTGGGTTAACCAAGTTTTCGACCAGGGATCCGGGCATAAGGAACAGCATAAAGATGAAGCGTGCTTAGGGTTTAGGGTTTAGGGTTCAGGGGTTTAGGGTTTAGGGTTTAGGGACACTCGGCAGAAGTGGCACCCTAGCAGCACGCCGAAGGTGTTGACGTCCGGCGCCAATCCGGCCTCGTCAAGGAGATACTCGGAATCACGGTTTGGTGTTTCTAAAACTTATCCCTATCTGAATGTGTGGTATATGCATATACATGGGTTCCACTCTTGATGTTTAGGGTTTAGGGCTTTGGGTTTAGACCCTAAACCCTAAACCCTAAGCCAAAAAAACCTAAAACCCTGCACCCTAAGAGATTGCTTTCACCAGCTGCTGCTCGTGTTACTTGATGTGTTACGGTATCATCAGCCTCGTGCCCGGAAGCTCCCTTTTCACCTGACAGTCTCGCAAGAGAATCCGGCTGTAATGTAGGGGCCTGAACAATCACAATAGGGCTTTGGGGTAATTGGGTTTAGGGTTTAGGGTTTAGGGCTTTGGGGTAGACTATAGTAGGTCTTAGTAAGGAACCGAACGGAATAAGGTTTGTAGGCTGGGGTTTCCAGTGTTTTCGGGCTCTTACTGATTTAAGTTAAACTGGGTTTTGGGAAATGTGATCGTATCTGAAGAAGAATCAGCGCCCGTACTTCAACAATAGTACTGGTATCTATTCAGGGTCCTAGCTTTATGCATTTATGCGTAGGGAAGGAAACCTACACAGTGTGTGCATGCGTATGCACACATGTGCTAGTAAGTAGACAATTACATACGCATCTACATGTAGACGGACTCAAACAAAGAATCTCTCAAACGAACATACGGACCACAGCAGAAACAAACGACTACAGGACTACGGAATGTACTCACCCCTAAACAGGTAAATCCTAAACCTTACACCCCCAAACCCTTGTATTCTAAACCCTAACCCCCAAACCCTTAAACCCTAAACTGAAGCCCAACAGCCATAGCAGAAGAAGATCTTGAACCCAGCTCCGGGGCGTTAGGTCGCAAAACAGAACCCAACGAAGCCTCAAACAACAAATTCAAAACCCTAAACCCCTTAACCCTAAATCATCCTAAATCCTAAATCATCCTAAACCCCAAACCCCTTAACCCTAAATCATCCTCAATCCTAAGTCATCCTAAACCCCAAACCCCTTAACCCTAAATCATCCTAAATCCTAAATCATCCTAAACCCTACATCATCCTGAACCCCAAACCCCTTAACCCTAAGTCATCCTAAATCCTAAATCATCCTAAACCCTAAATCATCTTAAACCCTGAACCCAAAACCACGCCTGCTGCGCCCGTGCATGCAAGTGAAGCCCACGGGGCCACTGCCTGGCAAATCATCAACCCAAGGTGTAAGGTTCAGGGGTTTAGGGTTTAGGTTTTAGGAAGATTTAGGGTTTAGGGTTTAGGGGTTTAGGGTTTAGGGGTCTAGAGTTTAGGGTTTAGGATGCTTTAGAGTTCAGGGTGAGCAACCAGTTGGGGAACCAATTTGCTCTGGCTGCAGCTTTATGGCTTGTCAGCCGACAAGAAAAAGACAACTTGCAAGTAAAGCCTAAACCTTAACCCAACCCTTAACCTTGATCTCTTCAGAACAAACCCCGCATAAAGCTTATCCCCAAACCCAATAACTACCCGAAAACTCAAAACACCCTATCCCAAACTGAAAAGCCTGAAAGTAATTCTAAAGCGTATACACCTTGACCCTGAAACCCTAAACCCTGAATCATGTAAACCCTGCTCTAGGCGCCATAAGAATTAAACTATATACTATTCTGGGGGTTTCCTTATTACAGTTATAGTACAATATGCCCCGAAACCCCATTCTAATTCGTAAGGCCCCTACATTAAACCCTGCTCAGCCTCACTTGCTCCGCAGTTGTCAGAGCGAAGTTGTTGACCAGCGCAGTCCTCGGAGTGACTCCTGCGCTGCTTTTCGTCTCAAAACAAGATCTACGGCTGAACCCATGTGGGTGGTTGTCAAAATTATGGTCCCATTTTGGGTCCTCATTATAATACGGCACCTATTATTTAGGGTACCCCAGAAAAGACCATAATTTTGACAACTACCTATGTATGTACCCTTGAGGGTCCCTAGAAAGGCCTAAGGGTCCAATATTCGGGGGCCCGTACTCCTAACCTTAGACAAGAAGGCCTTCCAATAACTTGAAAAAATGGTCTTATCGTCATCTATGGGTTTTGTTTAGTGCGCCCTACTTGGGGACACTACCCTTCCTTTTTTAGGGCTCCGTGTTGGATGTCCTTATAAAAATCCTTGGAAAGGCATGTTATGCTGTTATGCAGGTCCAGGTAGGGCTCCGGGTTGGTCTAAAAAGAACAGAGGGCCTCTTTGAATAAGTGCAATAGTGGGGCATATCGATATTTATACGGCTTAGTGTATAGGCCTTAATGAAAGACCAGAATAGGGCTGTCATAGGGTTTTTGTTGTAGGGGCCTGAATTAAAAAAAAAAGGTTGGTTTAACCACAAAACCACGGGCTAAAAACCCCAAACCTCATCTTTACACCCCCAAGACTTACTTTTGTAGAGACATATATTCGCGAATCATACGAACTAACCCGAACACATGTAGGTTTGCATGGTTTTACCCCTAAACCCTAAACCCTAAACCCCTAAACCCTAAATCCTAAACCCCTAAACCCTAAACCCCTAAACCCTAAACCCTAAACCCTAAACCCCTAAACCCCTTATAATCAGCCCTAAACCGTCAGCTGCACTCCTTCGCGCGCCATGTCTGCACGAACCTGGACTGCCTGCACTCTGCAGGGTGCTGCATATGGACCTAAAATCATCCCAGAGACTCCAAACACCTACTTAAGGAATATATTTATGTATATTAGGAACCCGAATAAGACGCATATTAAGTAGAAAGGGTTTAGGAATCTCTGGGATATTCAGTCATATTGAGATTTCTCTAGAAATTCCAGTATACATACATTGTTCAATGAAGGGGTCTGGGTGTCTCTGGGTCGTGATGCCCCACACCAAAACCCGAACGGGCGTCCCAGGCTTGGGGTGTGGGGCAGAATGCAATGAATCTGAGCTGAGAGCGACGTCTTTGAGGATCTTGCAGTAGACTTTGAAGTAACCAGGGAGAAAAAAACATAGACTTTAATTTCATAATGGTTCCCTTAAGGAACAGGCCCAAAAAAAAGTATTCAAGTATGGTACTCCAGAACCCAGTGCATGATCTTACTTTTTAGGGCCTTCGTGATGGTCCCTGTGTTCTACTACTCGGTCTGGGGCTTGGGGTCTATGGCTTTCGGCACACTATGCTGGGGATTATATAGGAACCAGAACCAGTACCGATACTGGTCGTTTTTAATTCCATGATCAAAAAGCCAGAATGTGCCATTGGGGCCCCTGTATGCCATGGAGGGAGAAACCTGAGAATCTTCCAGAACACTCCGGTAGTGACAAAAACTGCCGTGGTTTCACTTCTGGGGAGGAGGACGCTGTGGACGCTTGTTTGTTCCACACGGGAACACAACATGGAAGAGTCGCAAATATGCGCCCCTCCCTGGAATACAGCCGGTAAAGAACAAACAAGCTTCCACAGTGTCCCCTTCTGTAAAGGTTTAGGATTCGACCTGTAGTCTCCATTGCAGTTCCTTTTGGGGGCTACCTTTTCGGATCATAACTATACAGTTGGTTCGACCCAAAAAAGCAACTGCAATGGGGAATTGTTGGTAAGGGAGATGGAACACCACTTAAAGACCGAATCCTGGGAACAGGGATTTCTAAACGCGTTGACCCGAAACCCTAAGCCCGAACTCCGTAAGCAATGAGCCATAAAGCCCTTTCGGGGACGAATTCCTCGCTTCTGCTCAAGCTACCCAGGCTTCGATGGACTCAAATGATCCAACTGCGGACTATGCTTCACAACGATCCAACTTCGGGCGAAGCTTTCAGAAGCTTAGGCTTATGTAGTTTAGGGCTTGATTGTCTTCAGAGAGTCACGGGACTGAGAAGTTCCGTGGCTGAGAGAGCCAAAGAGCTTACGGTTTTCTCCGGGGTTAAAGTTTAGCATTAGGCGAGATTAGGATCACAGTCCCTTAAATAGCCACGACAACGGCCTTCAGGCGATAGCAGTCTGCGGGCAAGGGTGGAGCGCGCTTCGGGCGCAACCCTGAGCTTAGAGAAACCTCAACCTACGGTTGATGATATACATCCGGCATTACCCATATATGGAATGTGACATTATTTGCATAGTTTAGAGTCATTAATGTAATGCCCTAAACCCTACACCCTAAAACCCTAAACCCTCAACCTTAAAACCCAAAAACCCTACACCCCTAAACCCTAAACCCCTAAAGCCCTAAACCCCAAGGTAATGCAGGATGTATATCATCAGCAGTATTACTTGCTTCTCGGGGCCTTCTGCCAGTGACCCACATTGGAAGCGACCAGTGCTTGTAGCAGTGCGCCTGTGTCTGTGGTTTACTTAAAGGTTCATGGGACTGTGTGACTAGGGTCATATATCAGGTAACTATACTTTTAATTACTTATAAGCCAAATTAAGGTACTTATTAAGTCCCATGACCGTCCAAGTAGGGTTCAGGGCAGACGTCAAGGGACCTATAGTCTCCAATGCAACTCTCTTTGCTTGATCTAGGATAGAATCCCCAAAACCCTAAACCCTAAACAGAATCTTACCTCACCATTGGTTACCCTGACAAAATAAACAGGAACTGCATAAGAGACCCCAGGTACAATCCGAGGGCTGAATACTGCAAAGATAACTGTACCAAAGACCTTACTTACCATAACTCCAAACCCTGAACCCTAAACCCTAAACCGCCTGTTGTGGCCACAGCGCTATTCCCTAAGACTCTGAAACCCTAAGCCCTCGACGTTGGCCCCTGGACCTAAGCCCCAGTCAGTTCACGGCGCTGCGGTCGTTAAGTCGAAGTCCGACTTTCAACCCCGGAACACTTCGATTCTTCGTGGAGAGCTTAGGCTTCGAGTTTAGAGTTGTGGGGTTTGAATATCCCACACTGGGAAATCAAGGTCAAACCATTCACTACTGTTGATGATATGAATCCTGCAATACCTTAAAGACCCTAAACTATGGGAATTATGGTATATTCCCTATCATGGGTTGATATCATCAACCGTACTATGGAGCATGCACGATTTCGTCCATCGGCAATCGGGTGTAGGACTTAGGGACTTAGGGCTCTGAATCTCGGCTCACGGCTAAGAGAATCTCGGGTTTAGGATTGAGTGTATGGGCAGAAAGGGAGTACTTGCAGGATCAGGGAACATACGAACTAGGCCACAATTGGGGAAATGAGTTGTAAGTGCTCTATTCGCTATGACCTTTCTTGTAACCCTACTTAGAACCGACTTATAAGCTAATTCCCTGACCGTCCTATGTCGGGATTCAGTGTAATGCCTGCAGCTCTTTGGCCTGAGCGGGCGAACGGTGAAAATCTGTGATGGGGACTGCCGGGAATACGCTTTGCGGTACCCGGCGTCCGAAAAGTCGGAAGACGATGGAATGGGAGCGGAGGACATGACCCTGAACCCGAACCCCCAAGACCCTATGTGCATAGCGGGTACCGCATGTGTGTAAGAGAGGCATCTCGGACATCCCATGCGATAAATGTGAGCAACAGGCCTCTAAACATGCCGCACACAGCATAAGCTCATGTGACACCCTTAACCTAGTCTTCCTCTTTGGCAAGCCCGACGGACAGATTATTGACATATACAGCGCCTGGGCTCTTCAGGACGCCTTGACACGAAAGCTGCACGACAAGGCGCATGTCCAATCCGACAGAACCCTGAACCCGAAACCTCCATAAACCCTATTTAGCCAAGTCCCCCTGAATGTAACGCTTGAGTCAGCTGGTAACCATCAAAGAGGTTATGCTTTTACTAAAGGCGCTTGGGCAAAAGTTGCAGGCCACAAACTCCACGGTGCCTGAGGGACTAAGAGACTTAGTGTGCGTGTGTGTGTGTGTGTGTCCATGGTCCATGTTCACCTGTATATAACCTGCTATAAGATGTGTATATATATATATAAGTTTAAGGTACACCCAATAATGGGGGGGGGGGTACTTAGTTTCCCCAAATTAAATTGTATGCCCTACCTCCTGGACCGCCCCCCCCACACTCCTCAGTGCAGGGTTACCCCCTAAACCCTAAACCTTAAACCCTAAACCCTAAACCCAGCGCTCACTTCAGCCTCCCATGGCTGTGTCGGGTGCGGCCTCCCAGGACGTGGCGGGTAGGGTTTAGGGTTTAGGGTTTAGGGTTTAGGGTTTAGGGTTTAGGGTTTAGGGTTTAGGGTTTAGGGTTTAGGGTACTAGATTGGCCCTCAAATGCCTCTGAAAAATGTTCGTAAGCAAGATCCTGCTAAGACCAATAAGAGCAAAGGTGCAATATGCCAAAGGCCTACCTAGTTCGGGTTTTTGTATGGAGGTTTTTAGGGTTTGACAGGGATCAGGGGGGTTTGGGGGTCTGCGGCTGATGGGTTGCAGGGCCGAGTAGGGACTCCCGAGATCTAGGGTGTGCAGCTTAAGTTTAAGATGTTAGAGTTAGGGTTGCCCACATTGGTTCCCAAGAGAGTGTGCCCCTCTCGCAAAAAAAGGTATATGATACCTTACTTCCCTCATATTACGGGACTCTCCGTATCGTAGGATGGTTAAGGTATACTGCTCTACCATGGGGTGTTGGAAACTCTGGTTCCCTCCGTTCCCTAAACTCTAACACCTACATTTTCACAACTAGGCCCTAAAACCTACGACCTACATCGTAAGCTCTATTCTCGAATCCCTAAGCCCTAAACCTGAAGCCCCCAAATCCTAAACTTTCAACCGTATTCCCTCGACTGTCAGCCCGGCTCCATCAATCACAGTTTAGGGTTTAGGGGTTAAAGCCCTACATAAAACACCAACCACTAGCCTACCATGCAGAGAATGGCCCAACACCTACAAAAGGCTACTCTTCACGCACTTTTCGCACACTTTCAAGGTCCACGTCAACCCTACCCATAGGCCCCATAGTAGTTCCTTTTTGGGATTACCTTATAGGATTCTAAACATAAACCCCAAAAAAGGAACTACTATGGGGCCTGCGGGTACCCTAAACCCTAAACCCTAAACCCTGAACCCTAAACCCTAAACCCTAAACCGATGGGTAGACCCAAGTCCAGGCCCTCTTCTCAGAACCTGGTCGGCCATGTATGGGCATTCGGAGCCCGGAGCCCGGATGAGGTGGGGAAGATCGAGGATGACGGACCTCCGTTGCGCCAGGAATTGGGGGTTTAGGGTTTAAGGGTTTAGGGTTTAGGGTTTAAGGTTTAGGGTCCAGGGTTTAGGGTTTAGGGTTTAGGGTTTAGGGTTCAGGGGCGTAGGGCTTAAGGTTTTTGGGCTTGAGGGCTTTGGGGACCTGCATCTACGAGTCGTTGCCTGCTGGTCTCTACGCAGCTTCTTCTGATCACTGAAAAAAATCAGCCTTCAAAGGTGGCTTTTGTCAGAAAGTATGGCTGTCCTGACATTTACGGAGGTCAGAAATGCCAGAAGCTAGGAAGTGGTCAAAGTGTCTCAATTGCGGCTCATGTGACTGTTGTGCGTTCTGTGATTTGGCGTTTGCTGTTGTCGGTGTTGCTGTCGTTGGCGGCGGCGTTGGTGTTGGTATCTTCTTCAAAGCGGCGGCACTGGCGATGATAGGTGCTGCTTTTCAAACCCTTTGCCCCGCCCCCGGAAACGCTCAACCGCAAAGAGCCTTGGCACACAAAAACCTCCCTGAACCACACACGTGACAAGCTGTCAACATTTGGAAGCTACCATTGAAAATGAGCACTCATCAACCAAGAAAGCCAAACATAAGGTAGGAGTCTTAATATACGGTTTGGGACCCTTTTATACTATATTTACAATAAGGAACCCCAAAGTTTGGGTGTGCAGCCTTATCATCATTATTATCTGATATACCCCAAAACCTTATTCTAATTATTTAAACCATTTAGGCCCCTAATTACATGAGAGCCTCCCGATGTGAGAACAAGGCTTCGGACAATATTCGAACAAAACCTTGCACAGACCATCAGGGCGTGCTATTTCAAAGTATTAGGACCCTCATACCCCGAAGCCTGAACAAGAAAGCAAAGACAAACATGTATGTGTATATCTATCTACCTACCTATCTACCTATCTTTCTGTCTATCTATGTATCTATCTATATACCTGTTGTCTATATACACATATGAGTACGCACATGCACTCATAAAACTTTTTGTGCATACATGCATGCATAAATGCATGCATACATACATACATACATGCATGCATGCATGCATGCATGCATGCATGCATACATACATACATACATACGTTCGAACATTCACGTACACATACACATTCACACATACATACATGCATACATACACTCATTCATACATACATGCATGCATGCATACATACATACAGCACATACATGCAGGTATACAGACACACAGACATACAAACATACATACGTGTATACATACGTACATGCAGACACACAGATATACGGACACGCGGACACACACACACACACATATATATATATATATATATATATGTAGACATATGCATGTATTCATGCATATAGCAACCAAAGTAATTGCCTCTCAGAGCCGGATGTCATTGTTCTGCATCCAGCAGG